GCTGGAGTTTTTCTCCCAGAGATTGTGAGTGTTCCCTGGGTGCAGCCAGGATGGAGAGCATTGATCCAACCCGACTTACTTATTGGACCAGGGATCACCTTCCTTATCCCCTGTTGGTCCTAAATCAATGGCCATTGCTGTCCCGGGTGGAGCCCACTCCCTGACACTGGATTTGGGGCCGAGCTGCTGCCCTGGGTCACCCCATAAGGGAATTACTCTGGGCCAGCGGGACCCAGGATGACCCTGCCCTGGCCTCACTGGTCAGCAGGGACATCAGTGAGTCCAGCGTCCACTTTGTTCAGGCGCCACTGCCAGGACTCCCAGGACTAGGTATGTCTAGATAGACAAATGCATCATGGATTGCATTTCCTTGCCCCAGCAGAGTCCAGCCTTCAAAGGATAATATTCTAAAGTGAGCCTGGGGGCTTTAGGGAGGCTGACTCACCTATGAGTGTTGAATGTGAACCACATCGGCCTCAAAAGTGTTGGTCCGTGTGGAGGGACCCAGATAATAGTTGTCAGACAACACAGGGGACCCTGAATTCTGAGGACTCAGCCATCCATGTAGTGATGTCAACGCAGAATGCTTGAGCTGTTATTAAATGTCTGCTTGGTTAATAAGGGGGCATGCTGTTTTGGTCCAAGGCTAAGTATTCCTCATCAGTCATTAAAATATGCAAAGACCTCTGCTTGTTAACTGTGCCCAATGGTTAGGAGTCTGCACAGTCATGGACTTGGTTTATGAGGAAGACTACAGTGTGAAAAGTGCCTGGTGAAGGCTGGCACCTATTCTTAGCCTTCCCTTCTATTTGGGGCTGAGGATAGAAGGCAAGGGAAGAGGTTCTTACACAGCCTGGAAGGATGTAGCGGGTGGTAGGGGGCAGAGATGAGCGACCACCACAGGGCAGGCCCTTTGTGGCAGGAAGGGCAGGGATCACGTCTTTGTTTTCCTGGTGCCATATGACAGTTTCTTTTCTTTTTTTTTTCACTTTTTATTTTATATTGGCGTATAGCTGATTAACACTGTGATATGCCGGTGGACATCATATCCACCGGTCATCATGTATACGTATGTATGGGTCTCAGCCATACATATACACGTATCCGTTCTCCCCCAAACCCCGCTCCCATCCAGGCTGCCACGTAACACTGAGCCGAGTTCCCCGTGCTATTTCGCAGATCCTTGTTGGTTATCCATTTTAAATATAGCAGTGTATACATGCATATGATGGTTTCTTTATAAGGATCCGTGGTAGTTCCTTCCAAGCTCTATATATGCATCTCAAAGAGTGTATAGCTTGGTTCTGTTCATGAAGACGGGAGGCACGTTTGCTGAATTTAAAGGAACAGTTGGGCATTTGAGTTTTGGATTTTTTTCCTGTTAAGGAATCCAGACCTTAAGAGTGCCTCTCTGTGTGTAAGAGAGAAAGGGAGAATTTGTAGCTGTTCAACTCATGAAGAGAATATCTGATTTAATAGCTTTTAGAAAACAAATCCTTATAAATACATAGAAAGATGTATTCTAATTTGATTATTTTTCAAAGAGCATGCTGGCTGTGGCTTTTAGATTAGGAAATTGTCAGATTGTGTGCTTGTGGGAATGGACCTAGTTTTCTAGGGTGAAACCCAGGTCTGAATGCTGGACGGGAGCCTCTGCGCCCCAGGGTGCCCCAGGGGGCTTCATGTGTCCCCTGTGGGTTCCCTTGGCTTTTGTAACTGGAATACTGGTCTCACCATTTTTGAGGTGGGAGGAGGGGCAGCCCCAAATGCCAGAGGGGCTTGAGGGATTGTTAATGGAATTCCCTGCTGGGGGTCCCACAGATTCCCCCTTGAATATGAGCTCCTTGAGGACAGGAGTCACGCCGGGGTCAGCTTTGCAGTCCCAACCGGCCAGGCTCGCTGTTGGTGTGGTCGGGAGGGTGGGCAGAAAGCGCTTGCCTGGCCTTTGCTGCAACCTCAGTTGTATCTTTGCTGCCCAGGGCTGACCGCAGGGCTTCCTGGTTGACCTCTGTCAGGATGATTGAAGCTGTACAGTCATGGCAGTCACCCCAGTTGCAGGTTGAGCCAAACATCAAATATCTGTTCACCTGTCACCTGATGATGCTATTCTAGAAAGGAAGGCTTGGAGTTTGATGGAATTTGTTGGGATTTTGAGGATCCGAAACCCATACACTTATTTCTGCCTGTGAATAGGTTGTCTAATGACAATCTAGAGGTGCATACCTAAAATAGTATTTCACTTTTGATTTAAAAACTCAGAACATTATCCAGAAGTAGACAGAGTAAATTACCATTTTAATCACAGCCATGGAGGAAATGTTGGTATTAAGTGAGAAGCAGCACACAGAAGTGTGGGGACACTAATTTTATAGCTGGCCGGTGTATCAGCACACGTGACACCAAGTTAGTTCTGCGTAGAAGGAGGGGTAGGAGTGGAGGGAGCATGTGTCCCCGGTTGACTCAGGCACAGGGTGTTTGGAGCGACCTCACCACTGGCTGGGGTTGGAGGAGCTGAGAGAGCCGAGCTGGCCCCAGCCAGCTGAGCAGGGAGGGTGGTGGGTCAGGGTGCAGCCCCAGGGGCAGGAACTGGAGTGATAATGAGAACCCAGGAGCTCCTGGTCACGAACTGTCCCGAACCAAGGACTTTATGTCTCTCTCTTTCTTAGTTTTTCTCATCTCCCCATTTCATAGATGAGGAGACTGAGGCTCAAGGATTAAGAGGTTTTCTAAGGTCCCAAAGCTTCCAGACTCCAGGATTGATATCTGAGTCTGTCTGCCCCAGCACACATGCTCCTTGTAGCATCACACCGTCCCTTGGGTGGGGAGCTTGGCGACGCCTATCTCTGAGAGCTCTGGTGGCTGGGAGTGCGACTAACTAGGCCCCCATCCCAGCCTGTGACTACATTCCAGCCAGACTTGGCACCCAGAGGAACTGCATCTCAGTGGATGAAGTGGACCCTTCCTTCAACCAGAGGGTCACAGGAGTCCTGGTGAGCCGAGTCCGCAGACCCATGGGGCTGCATACAGAGGTTCTGCTTGCTCAAGAATTGGCTTCCTTTCAAATCCCCACCTATGAAATCAGTTCTCCAACCCCTCAGTTAAGACCAGCATCTCCCCAAGGCCATTGCCTCCAGTCTGGCTGACTGTTGGAAATCTGGCAATGTTAGAGAAATGGAAATTCAGTGTAAGTTAACTGCAGAGTAAAACTGCATATCTTACAAAAGGTCATCATGTCATGAAGACACTGAAGGTGATGTCGGAGTGCTTCTGGTTCTCACATGTGGACGGACAAGGGTCACTGGAGAGAAAAGCAGGGAGAACGTGCTGAATGTTTTAGAAAGGACTTGATGTCAAAATATGAAGATGGGACTTGTCTGGTGGTCCAGTGGCTAAGACTCCACACTCCCAATGCAGGGGGCCCGGGTTCAATCCCTGGTCAGGGAACTAGATCCTGAATGCCGCCTTAAAGATCAGAGATCCCATATGCTGCAACTAAGACCCAACATAGCCAAATAAATAAGTAAATATTTTTTTAAAAGATGAAGACAGGCTCTGAGAAAATCGATGAAGCCCTCAAACGGTTTGCAAAGATGACCTTTCTGATTGTCTTATTAAAAATAAAATGTGAAACAAAAAGGTAGCCACGTGGTTGGTCAGGAACAAAACACACAGAACAAAGCAAAAAGCATTTCATTTTTTTCTTTATGAGAAATTAGACCTTTGTTATAATTGCATGTTCTTAACCTAAATGTTGTCAGGTGATATAAAATAGACTTATCCTTCTAATTTTAGTCCTTTCCAAGGTAAAGACTGAATCAGATTTTTTTCTGATCTCCACCATCCCCCACCATCAGCCAAATCACCTGTTGTACTATGAAGTGATGGTCTTTGTTCAAGTGGATTTACTGTGAAATTGCCAACCGTCACCCAACCTGGTCCCTGTGTCAGATATTCCGAGTTATCTAGGACCCATTCTTATTTCAGTTGGTCAAAAGAAGATTAAGGAGGTTTGGGCAGCTGGTTTTCAGTTCTTTAGTATCTAGAAAGCATTTGTGTTTTGCCTAGTTATGTCCTGATATATATTCTTAATGGTCGCTGAGAGATTCTCCCAGGCGAATGATGTCGTCTGTGTTTCTAGTTGCTTTTGAAATCATGGCCATCCAGAGACCATAAGTTTTGTTTGTTTTTGTTTTTCATCTTTTGGCTGTGCCACAAGGCATGTGGGACCTTAGCTTCCCAAACAGGGATGGAACCTGAGTCCCCTGCATTGGCAGCATGGAGTCTTACCTACTTGACCACCAGGGAAGTCCCTGAGACCATAAGTTTTATTTATTGCCTCCTAATGATTTTGATATTTTATTTAGTATGGTTTTAAAATTTAATATTTATCAGCTAAAGCTGGTTCAGATCACTGATATTTCAATATTTAACAGTATTTTAATAGTAAAAACATATCTAATGCTTTAGAAAATGTGCACGCAGTACCAATGGGCTTCCCAGGTGGCTCAGTGGTAAAGAATCCACCTGCCAATGCAGGAGATGTGAGTTCAATCCCTGAGTCAGGAAGATCCGCTGGAGGAGGAAATGGCAACCCACTCCAGTATTCTTGCCTGGAGAATCCCATGGACAGAAAAGCCTGGCGGGCTGCAGTCCATGGGGTCTCAAAAGAGTGGGACACGACTTAGCGACTGAACACAGACACACACACAGTACCAAACTTACATGCCGTAAGAGGCACCTTGTCTGGTTTTGTTATTTGGCAGCATAAAACGTCTCCATCGCACCTTGTTTCTTCCCAGGGAGAACATCAGGATTCAGCAAGGCAAGACGGGCTTGGCATTCAGGGCATAGTCCGGGAATATGACAGCCTCTTAAAGACACCTTTTGTCTGATTTTTTTTTTAATAGACTATTTTTTAGAACAGTTTTAGCTTTATGGAAATTCCTGATTCATTTCATGATGCAGTTTTAACACCTAGATTTTTTTCCCTTTCTCTGCAGACGTCGCCTCATCTCCCAGCGATCATCCTTGGAGACCCTGGAAGACATTGAGGAGAACGCCCCTCTACGGAGGTCAGTTTTCTGGTTGCGTTTATGTGTATGTGGATGGCCTGCAATACAAGAAGAAGGCCAAAGTTTGCTCTTCTTTTCCAGTTCTTGATTTACAGAATTAAATTCTGAAAATGACAATCTGATCCCCAGACTCAGTTTGGAAACCCCAACCCTTTGGAATATTAGAAGGAGAGCACTGTGAAATCCCAACAGTGTACCAGAATAGCCCAGTCTGCATATGAATTCGGGTGCTGTGACCCTTCCTTTTTGAAAATGGTTGCTTGATGGAGAAGAATGCATCCCTGTTCTGGCTTTCCCAGAGGGGACACAGGCATTGCAGTCTCCGACTTGGTTAACAGGGGCTGCTACGCTCCTCCACGGTCAGGTGGTGGGGACAAGGTTAAAACAGCTGTGAGTGCTCCCTCAGGGCTGAAAGCCTTCGGTTTCTCCCTCCAGATTAGAAAAGTGCTTTCAAGGCATCTTTTTTTTGGCGGGGAGTGGGGGCGGGGGGGTGACAGCAGTTGCCGAGCTGTGCCTGGCTTCTGACTGGCAGCTCTCCTTCCTCTCATCTGTGCTGGGTCCCCCTGGCCCTCCTGGAGTGCAGGGGACCCACACCACATCCCCCTCAGTCCTCACTGCAGCCCCAACTGGGCTGGCCGGTGGAGGAGTGGCTGAGGGAAGACGGGGTCAGTGCAGGGGCCCAGGGCGGGGGGCGAGTAGGATGGGATGCTGCGGATTTACGGGAGATGGCTGGCAGGCTGCAAGGGGGCGTGTGCTCTCACGCCCTCACACAGCTCCTCGGAACCACATTTTCACCCGTCCTGCTTTGACCTCTAGCCAGGACTCGGAAGTCCCCGGCTCGTCCCTTTGAGCCTGGAGGGTGCTGAGATGGAGGGAGAGTCTCCCCCTGGAGCTGGCCCCTTCCCTGCACAGAGCTTCATTCCCAGGCCACAGGTCATGTCCACGACCACCTGCATAAAGCTTGGAGCATAGACAGGCCTAGGATCTGCTCCGAAGCATTCGTGACTGTGAATCTCATCACCGATATCATTCTAAAGAGAAAGTCAGAGCCAGACAGTCAGATTTCCACTTTTGAGGGCTTTTTGAAAACGTCCAAGGGACTTCCCTCATGGTTCTTTGGCTAAGACTCCATGCTCCCGATGCAGGGGGGCCCAGGTTTGATTACACAACTAAGACCTGGCACTGCCAAACAAATAGTAAATAAAATAAATATTGAAAAAAAGAAAATGTTCATAACTTCTGGGACCACGTTAGGCTGAAGGCATGTGGCTGTGATCCACGTGGCCCAGGGGCAAGTGTTCTTCTGTCCGTCTCTATTAAGTGGCACAAGTCAATCAGCGAATACGGGGGAGAAACATCCTCAAGTGGCACCGAGTGGCTTCGGCATTTGAGCACAATTGATGCCAATCAGCGAACAGAACTGCAAAGGCCCTGGAGTTTGGAGAGGCTGCAGGAAGCATGGCCATTCGAGCAATGTGGTAGCTGTGACCAAGGCAACCAGGTTAAAAAAAAATCTCAGGCTCTAAATGTCACCTCTTCAGGGATTCCTCTGGTAAAGAGGGGGCAGAGGAGGAGCTGGACGCTGTTTCTGGTCAGGTACCCTCTCTCAGCATCGCCCAGGCTGGTCCTCTGTCCTCTGGCTCTCAGGCCTATGATGGCACAAACGCTCAGGGTAAAAACGGAATGGCTGATTTGCCTTAACTGTAAATTCATCCAGCCTCTACTTACAGAGTGCTGTACTTAATTTCCTACAAATCTTGTGTAAATAAAAAGTTTAAAAAAATAAGTAAAAATCAAGGGAGTTGGGCAGTTTAAGAAGTCTAGATTTTCCCTAGTGGACTTTCTTTAATTAAAAAATTTCCGATGTTTACCATTGAAACAGACAGAGAAATCAAACTCATGGTTATTGAAGGAGGTTGTCTTGTTGTTGGACATGCCAAGTCATGTCCAACTCTTTTGACTTTAGCTGCCAGCTCCTCTGTCCATGGGATTTCCCAGGCAAGAATGCTGGAGTGGGTTGCCATTTCCAGTTCCAGGGGATCTTCCTGACCCAAGGATTGAACCCATTGGCAGGCAGATTCTTTACCACCGAGCCAGCAAGGAAGCCCCGAAGTGGGTAGGGGAGGGATAAATTAGGAATTTGGGATTAGCAGATACAAACAACTATGTACAAAGTCAACAAGATCCTATTGTGTAGAGCACAGGGAACGGTAGTCAGTATTCTGTAATAAGCCATAATGGAAAAGAATAAATACACACACACAGATATATATGTGAATCACTTTGCCATATACCAGAAACTAACACAAAGTTGTAAATCAACTATACTTCGACAAAAAAATTCTGATATGTACTTAGAAACTTGTTCCTAAGAAATAAAAATCGCAAAAGAGGCAGTAGTTTGGGAGTCAGGGGATTTGAATTTTTGGCCCCATTCTTACACTAACTGCCTGCATGGCTTTGGAAATTCATTTACTTATGCGGAGGCCTCCGTTTTCCCACCTGTAAAATGGAAGGGATAAATTGACTGATCTCTGACCAGCCTTTCCATTCCGTGAAATGAAAGTACCAGTAATGACGCCAAAGTGTTTTGGGAACTGCGGGGGTGGAAGGCTATTAGCCCAACTTGCTTTTAAAGTCAGCACTCAGAACAAACTGCTCCAAGGCATCTATTAAAAACCTTTTGCATAATTAGGTGTATCCTGTAATCAGTGCTAACAAGAAAGAGCTAATCTTTCATTAAATTAATTTTTAATTTAATTCCATCCTAATTTAATTTTGCGTCACTTAAAATGTATGGTTTTAAATGGGTATTTACACATTAATACAGGTGGTTTTGAAATTAGTTTCTTCCGTGCTTAACCTGCTTTAACCTGAGTGCTCTGTCTTCCGGTTTCCTTGGCAATTGTTGCCAACGCCACAGTTTTCTTAAAGTGTTTCTTAGGTCGGGGGTGGTGATAGATGAATGCTTTAAAAACACACACACACACACACACGACATCAAATAGCTTGCTGATCCAAGGGCTAGATCAGTAGCATTGTTGTTGTTGTGTAGTCACTCAAGTGTCCAGCTCTTTTGTGATCCCATGGACTGCAGTGAGCCAGGCTCCTTCGACAGTGTCCACGGAATTTCCCAGGCAAGAATACTGGAGCTGGTTGCCATTTTCTTCTCCAGAGGGATTTTCCTGACCCAGGGATCTAACCTGCATTGGCAGGCAGATTCTTTACCGCTGAGTCACCGGGGAAGCCCTTTGCAGTTAGAATTGTATGCTAATATAGAAATAAAGCACCTCTTCAGTTATCTTTTGGGGCCTTTCCCAGGTGGAGCTAATGGTAAAGAACCCACCTGCCAATACAGGGACGCAGTTTTGATCCCTGGGTTGGGAAGCTCCCCTGGTGTAGGAAATGGCACCCTACTCCAATATTCTTGCCTGGAGAATCCCATGGACAGAGGAGCCTGGCGAGCTACAGTCCACAGGGTCACAAAGAGTTGGACACGACTGAAGCGACTTGGCAATCAGTTATCTTTTTAAAAGTTCTGCTTTTCTCTTGCACATCACAAGTTAGTTGCTTGTATCCACCTTGAACTCCAAGACTTGAGCCTTAACCATGAGAGCCTTTAGATTGGGGTTTTCCACATTGTCTGGTGGTTACCTGGTCTCCCAGAAATAAGAACCCAGGCTCTCTGTTAGGTGTCCAGAGAAACCTCTGTTCGGCTCCCGCAGGTGTGGCAGCCATCACCCCCGGCCCTGGTCCAGCCTGTCTGGGTTGAGGGGTGCCGCCTGCTGTACCATTCAGTGATTACCAGTGCCGACACACACCTGTGCCCTTTTGCCAACTTCCGGCTCCAGCTGAAGGCTGAAAGATTTTGTGTCTAAATCCTAGGGTAACAGCACCTCTTTCTGCAAGCATGGAGACTGGGAGCACCTCGGAGCCATCGGAAGGCATCGTCACAGTCCAGCTCTCAGCCTACCGCCCTCATCTAGACCTGGGGGCCTGGAAACTCTGCATCTGGTTGGGGGCAGTTGGGGCCGGGGCGGGGCACGGGGTAACCATGTAAGGATGCTCCTGAACTCCTGTCCAGAAACCAGTGGGAGCACGCATTTATGCCTTCAAGGATCCTCCTCTCTCCAGTGACTACATATTTCTAGAACTTTCTGCCATGTGTTAGAGAGACAGTGGGGGACCTTAAGTGGCCTGCAGACTCTAACAGTCATTCTGGGGGTAGAACTGAGACCCTTCAAGGTGTTGGGTCTGCTTCTGAGTGCGGCCTCAAGAAGGCAGAGTGAGGCTGTAGCTCCTTGGACCCCAGGAAGACTGGATCTGGGTTTGGAAGCTCAGAGTAGGAAGGGGGACCGGTGAGTGTCTTCCCTGATTCAAACCCTTCCTGAGGTCCACAGGAAGCATCTATAGAATGCCCTCAGGCAGGGCACTGCCTGTCTTTACAAGAGTCTATTTAAAACCAAGAAATCAGGACCCTTAACCAAGGCTGCAGGTTTTCTTTGGTTTTTTTTTTTTTTTTTTTTTAATACTTTCTTGGCCACATCGCTCAGCAGGTGGGATCTTAGTTCCCCAACTGGGGATCAGATACCCCACACCTCATGGATTGGAGGCTCAGAGCCTTAATCACTGGACCACCAGGGAAGTCCCAGGGCTGCAGTTTTAAGAATATAGGAGGCAAATAGTAACAAAATATGCACCCTTTGTAGTTAAAAGTTTTAATAATAATCACAACACTTGAAATGTGTATATGAATATTTACATGTGTGTACATATGGGCCTTCCCTGGTAGCTCAGACAGTAAAGAATCCACCTACAATGCAGGAGACCTGGGTTCAATCCCTGGGTCAAGAAGATCCCCTGGAGCAGGGAATGGTTACCCACTCTAGTAGTCTTGGCTAGAGAATTCTGTGGACAGAGGAGCCTGACAGGCTGTAGTCCACGGGGTCCCACAGAGTGGGTTTCCCTGATTGCTCAGACTGTAAGGAGTTCACCTTCAATGCCAAAGACCCGTGTTCAAGCCCTGGGTTGGGAAAGATCCTCTAGAGAAGGGAATGGCTACCCACTCCAGTATTTTGCCTGGAGATTTCCATGGACAGAGGAGCCTGGTGGGCTACAGTTCATGGGGGTTCCAAAGAGTCAGACACAACTGAATGACTAACATACACACACATATGTTTGGACATGAACTTCTGTATTTGAATATGTCACTTAACAGTGTATGAAGCTCTGACAGAAATCTTCACATGTAATTCTCACAAGAGCTCCAGGGAATATTACTACTGATAGGTCACTAGGATTGGTAGTGAGTTGGAGTGGATGCTGGCAGGGCCACTCGAGGTGTGGCCATGAGCTGTGGACACTTCAGTCCGGTGACGTGGACATGACTGGCAGGGGTCTTCCTGCCTCTAGACCCAATGCCCAGGAAACCCCCTTTCCTAATGAAAGTCACCAGATACCTTCTACCATCTCATTGCTTTGACCACTCATTCACTTCACTGTATTTTTTCCAAGATAAATTCTATTTTAAGGTGCTATTTTTATGGGGAAAAAATAAATAATTTTCAGTGCTCCCTAAGAAGGGTCTTCTAGGAAGATTGGCCCTTACTGGAGGGCGGGTAAGGGGGTTTCAGGGGAATATACACCCTGAGGTCTAGACCGGGGCCGTCCCCTAATTTCCCTTCAGGCCCCTGCCTGCGTGCGTGCTATGTTGCTTCTGTTGTGTCCGACTCTTTGCGACCCCCTGGGCTGTAGCCCGCCAGGCTCCTCTGTCCCTGGAATTCTCCAGGCAAGAATACTGGAGTGGGTAGCCGTTCCCTTCTCCAGGGGATCTTCCCAACCCAGGGATCGAACCCACGTCTCTTAATGTCTCCTGTATTGACAGGAGGGTTCTTTACCATTAGTGCCACTTAAGAAGCCCCCTTCAGGCCCCTGGGGGAGAGTAAAGATCAGAGCTGAGGGGCAGGTGTGTGACTCTGAACATTCCTTAATCCTCTGCCCCTCAAAGGGGCAGCCTTCAGCTTTACCTTCTCCTTGGGTCACCTTGCTACTCCCTTACCTGAAGCCTCCAGGTTCAGAACTGACTGAACTCAGGTTACAGCCCAGCTCAGACATTCAGTGTGGCTTTGGGAACCTGGGCACCACTTCTTGGGACCCACATCTGACGTGATCCCAGAAACCAGCCTTCGGGGTCCATGGTCAGAAAGGTTTAAGTAAACAAAAAATTTTGGCAGCAAAAATCCAACTAGAGAGGACATTGCTCCCTTTCTCAAGACAAGTCCAAACTTCAGATTCCCATTTGTTGGGAATTTGCTTTTTATCCTAGCTGTTGTTGCAGTTATGTGTCTTAGAATTTTGCCAGGTAACTTTGAAAAAATATACACAAATAAAACCTCTCTGTTCTGTTATTCCTGCAGTGCACGCACATGTCATATATTCTAGGGAAAATTAATTAGAATCCAAGTCAATTTGTTCAACAAATATTTATTTAAAATTTATATAAAAAAACAAAAACAAACAGCCACTAGCCAGGTCTCTGATTCTCATTCAAAGTAAAGCTGTGACTTCCAAGCATAGCCATGCTGAGTGTTGAGGCCATCGTCCAGGTGATTCAAGCCAGAGTCCTGCTATAGAAGAAAAATGCTTCAGGGTTGTTTTTAAACTGAATTTGCCAGTATTTCTTCCTGCCTCTGAATTCGTTGAATTTGCAGTTTTCCGTTCCCGATACCCGTGTTGATACGGGAAGATTCTTTTTAAGATGACAGGAACGAATAATGTCTTTGGAATCCACGTAGGTTATGTTATTGCAATTGAGGACAATAGTTTTCATTAGCTGGCTCTTCAGAGCCATATAAATTCTTATCAGTATTTTCAAGGAAGTTGTCTGTCTGTTGGGTGGGTTTTTTTGGTTTTTTTTTTTTGTTGTTTGTTTTTTTAAGCTTCCTCGCTTCCAGCCGCAAGGTCCTCGTTATCCTTGGGGTGACTCAAACCACTTGTCTGGTCTTTCCTTCCTGTCTTTGTGCGGAGATGTCTCAGCTATCCGAGACCAACTGACTGTTTTTGAAATGGCTTTGTTTTTCAGATGTCGAACTCTCTCAGGTTCGCCCAGACCAAAGAACTTTAAGAAGATTCATTTTATCAAGAATATGCGGCAGCATGATACCAGGAATGGCAGGTACCGTACTAACTGAAGCTTTGGGGGGGGGCTGGTCCCATAGGGAAGAAAAGGGGGATCCTTTGCATGGCCAAACCTCACGGAGTGAAGCCCACTCTAAAAATGAACATGATGTCATGTAACCTTCCCAAACAGACCATTCTTTCCACCCCTCTCCCACCAGAATCATGCAAGAAGTCAGTAGAAAATGTTGCTCTCTAGTGGTAACCCTAGTCTTGGTTTTTTTAGATTAAAACTGAATTTTCAATAGTACTGAAATATATTTTTATTAGGAAACTTTGAACAGAAAAACAGTTGAGTTTTTTTTGCGAGGGTTTGTCGGCATTTCTTTTTCTGCTTTGTTGGGTTTTGTTTTCTACTTTCACCAGGGCTCTGTGCTCTGGTCAGTAAACATCCTGCTAGATCTTGGGCCTAAAGTCGGGTTTGGCTCGCTCTCTCTGATGATGTTCATTAAGAGAGGAGGATCCTGATTTTGCCAGCAGATTCGTCCCAGGCGCTAGTTCAGACTCCTGGGCCAGCTGACATCTGGGAGCATGTGTTTCTCCAGCAAAGAGTTGCTCTTTGGGAAAGCGCTATTAAATGAAAATTATGGTTAACATGTATATGTTGTTGTTCAGTCGCTCGGTCGTGCCCTACTCTTTGCGACCCCATCGACTATAGCACTCTGGGTTTCCCTGTCCTTTAACGTTTCCCGGAGGTTCCTCAAACTCATGTTCGTTGAGTCAGTGATGCCATCCAACTATCTTATCCTCTGTCATCCCCTTCTACTCCTGCCTTCAATCTTTCCTAGCATCAGGCCCTTTTCTAATGAGTTGGCTCTTTGCATCAGGTGGCCAGAGTATTGGAACTTCAGTTTCAGCATCAGTCCTTCCAATGAATATTCAGGGTTGGTTTCCTTTAGGATGGACTGGTTTGATCTCCTTGCAATCGAAAGAATTTGCAATATGATCTTGGTATTAAAACTGTCCTGGTGACAGGTGGACATGAATCCTTGTTGCCAGCATTGATTATGATTGAATGGTGAAGCCCATTAATGGTAGCCTCATGGTAGTGCTGGGAATAGGGCTCTAAGACCCCTTGGGATCCCTGAAGCTCTGTTCCCTGGGGGTGGCTCCTCCTCTCTGATATGTGACCTAGATCATAGCTAAAGACACGTCCCAGAGTGGAGTTACTGCCACAAGACCATTTAATCTCCTGATTTGCAGAAGCTCATATGGGCCCCACTAATTTTTTCTAATCTATAACAAATGAAAATTGCTAAAAACTTAGACTCATGGCATGATTAAGGCCCAGCATCACTATAATTTAGTGTAAAATACACAGTACAACCTGAATAACTAACACTAACAATTACAGTTTGTAAAGACTTCTTTTCTTGATGTTTTTAAACTTCTGTTGAATAGAGAACATAATTTTATAGCTATTCAACAATTTCAGAATGGCACGATTGAATTCTCCCGTCAAATCATTTTTAAGTAGTCAGTATGTATTCCTATTTTAAGTACAAAGCTTTTAGTTAAAATGAACCCAACTGTCATCTGTGAAATAGAATACACTCTGGGTTTCTTTCTCTCACCCTGACTCTCACTGTCACAATTACTGTGCCTTATACATTTAACCACCATATTTTTCTTTTCTATTGCGTCTTTTACTTACTGAATCCAAACCTCACTTGTACCATTTTTAGTATAAATTACTCATCATTAATTTATGTTGGTGTTTTTGTTCATAATCTCTTGAACCATAAACAAACATATAAAACCATGAGTTCCTAAATAAAATCAATGGCAAAGCCAAAAAGTGGGCCAAATTAATAGTATTCCCCACTTTTCAATGCTGTTGAGGATACAGAGTCAGATAATCACCTGGCATGGTTTGCAGTGAGTGTTGTATTAGTTGCTCAGTTGTGTCTGATTCTTTGCAACCCCATGGACTGTAGCCTGCCAGGCTCCTCTGTCATGGAATTCTTTAAGCAAGAATATTGGAATGGGCAGCCATTCCCTTCTCCAAGGGATCTTCCCAACCCAGGGATCGAACCTGGGTCTGCTGCACTGCAGGCAGATTCTTCACTGTCTGAGCCACCGGGGAAGCAGTGAAGGGATGTAGGTAAAAGATTTGGACTAATGGGATCACCAGTGTCGAGTGTATTCAGAAGATGCTTTTCCTGGCACACCTTTGACCCAGGAACAACAGAAATAGCCCAGAAAGCATGCAGTTGCTGGTAGTCTCACTGGGGAATTTTCAGACAGAACCAGGAAGGACTTGTAGCTCATCTGAAGATCTAAGAACTGGAATTTCGGGCAGAAAATCGAACCCTCAGCACTGGCTATAGACTGTGATGACAGCCAGTCCTACCTGTCCAGGTGAGAACTGCTTTTTATGTGCCAGCGAAGATGAAAGGGCTGGAGATGCATCCTTTAGCAGGGATGGACCATTCTTAGATAGATGAAAGGAAGAACTCAGGAGGACACCAGGAAGAGCCTAGAATTTCGGAGGTGAGAGAAGGAAATTGTGGTCAAGAGCTGGTGAGTGGGAGGAGAAGACCCAGCCTTTTGAGAAGCGCGAAGAGAGGTCCCACCGTAGCCGGGCAGCAGGCAGAGCACGTCCTGCTGAAGGCGGCCGGGGGCAGGGCTGAGCTCAGGGCAGCGGTGCTGGGTACCAGGGGGCCTGGGTATGCTCTAAGGAGGGAGGGACTGGGAGATGGCTGGGGTGGGGGGTCTCTGATCCCCCACCTCAGGCATGCAGAGCACACACACAACACCACACCTACTGCTTCTTGCAGCCCAGTGTTGAAGCCCCTCGACTCAAGTTCCTGCCATGTTGGGAGGAAGGAGGCTTTGCTGAGAAGCCTGGAGATGGTCATTAAAGAACTCAAAAGGGGGACTTCCCCGAGGGTCCAGGGATTAAGACTCCATGCTTCCAATGCAAAAGACGAGGATTCGATCCCTGGCTGGGGAACTGAGATCCCACGTGCTGCACAACACATGCGTGCTCAGCTGTGCCCAGCACTGCAACCCCATGAACTGTAGCCCACCAGGCTCCTCTGTCCTTGGGACTTTCCCGGCAAGAATTCTGGAGTGGGTTGGCATGTCCTTCTCCAGCAATGACATGAAGTCTTTAAAAAAAACTGTTCACATATGTGTGAGCAAACTATTTGTCGTGGTAGAAAGGAGTCCAGGGCCTTGTGTCCTGGCGTCTGGAGGGGACCCTTGAACATTCTGAGGATGGTCAGTGGGGGCTGGGAGCTGCCACTTGGTTAGTAGAGAAGAGCCAGTCAGTGTCCACTGTCATCTGCATGAGGACGTTAACTGGAAGTGAAGACAGAGCTCGGCCCTCCAGGAGGAGACAGCCTTGAAAATGACAAACATTATGAGGCCAGCGGGTGCCAACAGGGAGCTGACTGCTGGCCAGGTAGAGCTGGGTCATTGGAAGGTGAGCATGAAGACTGATGACCAGCCACCGGCCAAAGACACGTTCTTGTCCAGTGACCCTCATGGTCCTGTTAGGACAGGACCTCTCCTGGGTGCTTCCAGCCTCAGGACTCAAAATGTCTGAGAGCCATGGGAGACAAGAGCCATGGCTTCAAGTGGGCATCACCCTCCCCCAAACATTATTTCACGTCCTTTTGAAATCATCTGGTTTTCGAATGTCTGCCTTGAGGAGGGTCGATGGCTGTCACACACACTGGAAGTGCTCCCTTCCTGGGTCTGCCGTGGGAATCATTGCCTTCTGCACAGGCAAAGAAATACTTTTTGCAGTGCGTGGACTGGTCTGTCTCATCCGTTGACAGAACTTTTCAAGAGACTTAAAAAGATTTGAGAGAGTGGACAGAGATGTGTGCCAGAGGGTAGTCTCTCTAAAGTGCGAACTCAGTAGGAAAAACAAAAATATGAAAGATTCCAACACCTTTCATCTGCTTTGTAAAGTAAGATGTTAAAAAAAAAAAAGTGCAGTAAGTGAAGTCAAGTTGTCACTTCTCATTTTATACTGAAAATTGTGGAGGAAACTAGGCAAATGGGTAATAACTAAATTAAAACCTTGTTTGTCATCTCATCAGTTCCGATCTGTCAGCTTAGTTTAGTTTGAGAGATGTGTTGGAGGAAGAAGCACATTTCAAAAAACAAAACAGCTAGTCACCAGCTCTGAACAGGCCTTCTAGAAAGCAGAAATATGTCATCATCGCCTTTTCTCCCTGAAACAAAGCCTTCTGATTCGATAGATGCATGGCATCTTCTGCGAGACTCCGTGAAATGTCTGCTGCTTCCCCAGCATGCTTTTCTCCTCCCAAAACTTTTGTTTTTTGTTAAAAGACTAGACCCCTCCATCCCCCGGCAGCAGTAGGCTGGAAGAGAAGCATCTTTATCAGTGTCATCATCTGTGTTTATAACCAATTGTCAGCAAAACCTCAGACCTAAAGGACATTGAGTGGATAGACTTGAAGGAAGGGGAAGCAAGGGTTAGTCACTCAGTCGTGTCTGACTCTTTGCAACCCAATGGACTGTAGCCCTCCAGGCTCCTCTGTCCATGGGATTCTCCAGGCAAGAATACTGGAGTGGGTTGCCATGCCCTCTCCAGGGGATCTTCCTGACCCAGGGATCGAACCTAGGTCTCCTGCATTGCAGGCGGATTCTTTACCACTGAACCACCAGGGAAGCCCTGAGGAAGCCTTTAGTAACCTCCAGACCTCACTGAGACTTCCTGGGCCCAGCCTCTTCTGCCACCAAAGTGTCTCCCAGAGCTGCTCTCAAACTGATCCATTGATTTTCCTCTGCTTCTTCCCTGGTTCTCTGAGCCACCGGAGGAAGGAGAAGCCGGACCATAGCCACCAGGGACCAGCTGGGGCTGGCACTGGCTCAGCACTGCATGCAGGGTTTATTACAGTCTTATTATCCATATTTCTTGTTTGTTTGTTTCTTTAATTAAGGGTTTTGTTTTGTTTTCTGGCCATGCCTTGAAGCATGTGGGCTCTTAATTCCCTGACCAGGGATCGAACCCGTGCC